TTCTGTCGAGACCATCCTGCAGCAGGTAGAAAACACGTCCGCTCGGCTCGGCGTCTGGAGTGAGACTCTGTGAATCGATATAACAACACGAAATCTGGATGGAAAAAAAAATCAGCATCAAAAATACATAAACAAACTGATAAGATTACGGATACATTCAGGAAACTAAGAATGCAGTTATACGGACATATTCACAGGATCATTGAAAACAGAATTTCAAGGCGGAGTATTAAAGTCATTAATTCAGGAAGGGCAAAAACAAAATGAATAAAAAGACGTGGCGCAGGCGGATACGGCAGCCGTCGCATGCGCCGAGGAGGTTGCAGGTTCGAAACCTGCGTAGATACGGACGTGTTTGTGCTTGTTCCTTCACCCCTTATCAACCTCCTCATCATACTAACACAACTCAAGGCTTAACAACCTTGTCTTACCGAGGAACACAGCTGAAAAGCTGATCCTAATAGTTACACACGTCAATCGTGAAGCTTGGTTCCCTGGGTCACACAGGCGAATGCTGGGATGGTTCAAAAAGGCCACAATGATCTGTCATCATCCTATCATTTCGTAATTTATGGTTCAAGGCTTAGCAACCTTATCTCACCATGGGATACGAGGGGCTGATCCCCATAATAACACACGCTAGTCTCTCTCCGGTAAATAATATGACTGGGCACGGAAGAGAACTTGTAGCGTGGTCAGAATTGGCCCACATAATAATAATAATAATAATAATAATAATAATAATAATAATAATAATAATAATAATAATAATAGTTAATTTATTTCTGGCGAGGCTTAAAGGCCTGATCTTCCACCCAACAATTTAAATATCTTTACATTTACATAATTACAATTGAGACCCACAACTACGGCGTATTCCTGCATGACCCGACCTTCCGCATTGTTAATCGGGGCTCTTGTGGGCTCTTATCAGCCGCGCGCCGAGCCGTGAGAGCGCGTGGCCGACCTAGGCATTTGGGAGGCGACGTCAATACGGTGAGGAGGTGCACGTGGCAGGCGGTCGGTCGGCGTTTGAAGAGTTACGAAACGAGGCACTCTCGGCGCATCTGACGCCGCCGCACATGGCTGCCTCCGTGGAGTCCGTGTCTTCGCGGGGCACCGAGGGAGAGGCCCAGCCAATGAGGTAAGGGAATATTCCTCAAAGTGTTAAAATGTACTGTCGCAAATGACCGATTCTGGCCGAAGTTGCTAGGACCAAAGAGCCGTAGCTGCCTCGTGCCTGAAGGTTCACGGGTTCGAACCCCTCCTGGGGGATGACTATTTGGGTGTGTCCGTATACCGTTACCGTTACCCCCCGTGTGACTTACAGTGGTCACTACATTAGCTTATTCATTAAAAAGCGACTGTGAATAATAAGAAAAAAAATAACCTAGAATTTTCGTATTTACGAAACGGTTCGGATGTTCTTACCACGACGCTTTGGGATTGAAAATATCCCCGCTTCAGTTGCTGTTATTTAAATGTACGGTAGTACGTAGTAAAAATACAAATACATTTACATATATTTGTACATATGGATAATCTCTTACATGTTTCATTCTCTTCATCCTTTAGTACCTTCATCATATAGGTTGCATCTCGGAAGTTAACCATTGAAAATATCTTCGAAAATATTTGTTTTTGAGGTATAGGGAGACGGTTTGCGCCAAGTTGTAAATCATGGGGATAATATTGACCGTTTTCTTGTATATAATGGGTTCTAAGTTTGGAGATGTTACAATTTAAATATTTTCAATGGAAATACGTATTTTTTCCAGAAGCATTTTAAAACTATCGGGCTGAGAAATACAAATATCCCAGGTATCCCTCAATAACTTCTAAACGGTTTACGATACCAAAATGCAGGTTTCGTTCAACATTGTGGAATCGTGGGGCAAGTAATATGCTATAGAGATATTGTTCGGAATATTTTTAATTTTAGACAAATTATTCATCTTTGATTTTTTAAATGGACCTATGTTAATGGACCTATCTATCACACTAGTAGGCGATAGATAATTTATAGAAGAATTCAATGACGTACATGTGTTAATATTTTGATAGTAGTTCGACAATAAAATTATACATTCTGATATGCTATTTTAGATTAAACCGACAAAATTTTCTAAAGCCCTTGCAACTGTCGCCTTTGGGGGAAGTGTCCTTCGCGACCCCGAGACAGTTACAGTGAGAGGGGAGACTGAGGGGGGTGGCAGTGAGGGTACAGGTGCAATTACAGCAATCTATGATCTTGTCGAGGACACTAGAACGAACATCAATTTCAAAGACCAAAATAAAAGACTTTTCCAATTTCGCAAGAATTCAACTTTTCATCCACTGATTGAAATTTTTAAATATCAATTATTGAAATGAGCAATATAAAAAATGGTATTATAAGGAATATACTAACAAAGATCTTTTTCATACTTGACAATAATAGAATTCGATGTTTAATATTTGTAAGAATAAGACATCATTTTAAATCATTTCAAATACAAGGAAAGGGAATCAGTGTTTGAAGATGTCACTGTGATATCTTCGATCGTGTTCACATTTTAGGTAAAAGTTTCGTTATTATTTACTGTAACTCATCTTCTCATGTAAATTTTAAAAAAAAATTAAAAAAATCGAAGATAACTTCAAAAAAAGTAGATAAATTATTAACAGTTATGATGTGTGTCCTCCACCCATAACATCCCCAGTTGTGTGTGTGTGCAAGGGCCGACGTACTGACTGCAAGTTTTTGTGGCGCTATGAATCAATACTTTGGAATTTTGATCTTAAAAAGAAAGTTCAATTCTGATGAATCAATAGGAAAATTCTTTCATTCTGATCGTTAATATTGATCTTTGTTCCCATGTTCCTCGTGACAAGACGACGAATTGTAGTTACGCCTCTATCACTCATTGCCATCCTTCTCAGTCTCCTCCTCCTCTCCCCGTAACAGTTTTGACACCGCGAAGGTCACTTTCCCCAAAAGCAGCAGTTGCAAGGGCTGCTAGAGGAAAAAAGTGTCTGTTTAATTGAAAATCACATGATTTTATACTCAAATTAGTATCAAAACATTAACATATGATCATTAATTGTAGTCGTCATTTAAGATCTATTGCTAGTGAGAAAAATATACTACTATTTAAAAAAATCAAAGGTGAATACATTTCTTGAAAATTAAAACATTTCAAACAATTTCTCTATGGCATGTTACTTGCCTGAATATTCCACAATATTAACCGAAAACTGCAATTCGATATCGTGAACCTTTTAGAAGTTTAAGGATAGCTCGTAGTTGGTGGGACACCTGTATTTTGTCAATATTCGCAAAGAAACAGTAGGAAAATTGCACGTGTCTCCCACCAATTACATGCAGTACTCGGAAGAATGCTTTCTGAAAAATTTTCCTTGTATGTGGAAAGTGCGACAGACCATTTTGTATCGCCTCAGATTTCATCTTTCAGCGGTCACATCCGTGACTGACCTCGCTTTCACCGGTCAACAGTGGTTACGCCTGGGTACAAACACGTACGTCTTTGTCGCTGCATTGTCGTTTGCTTTATTAATTACGTCTTTTTTATCACCATGCTAAGTTTTGCCTCAGAGGCAGAAGTTGAAGTAAGAAATAGTAATGCAGTTTTCAGACTCTGGGCTCTAGTAGCACAACTTTATATTTTCGGAATATTATCGGAAAGGTACTGCAGAAAACGTCCGTTCAACGAGTGAATTTCTTAAAAGGCCACTGGAGTTTTCTAGTTTTCCGATTGCCGGAGAGAGTGTCCTTCATTGTCAACAAAGCGCTCCGCTCTCAAAAGAGAAATCGAAATCAGAATACTTTTCACTGATGAAGCGACATTCACAATACATGCATTTTCTTTGTTAACGACTCAGTTAGCAAGAGAATACATTTTGTAATCGTTTCCTACATTGAAATGGTTTCTTGTTTATTTAATTTCTAAGATCAGACAGCGATCAAATTTATCCTTCTCTTGGACTCACTTGTGTTTAAAAATGTAAACACGATTTTCGATTTTCGTCGATTATTACTTTATCGCATTATGATGTACTTCTTCTTTGAGATTTTTTCATTTATTTTTATTTATATCGATCTCAAAAAAAAGTATAGTAATTACCTTCCCTCCTACTCACCACTCCCATGAAAATTAAATGCCGCGAAAAATTAATGCTATGCCATTAAAATTATGAAAGAGTGATGCTTTTCACTTGCTGATACGTTTACGCAAAAAATTAGAATATTTTCGTGATTAACCTATACAAATTAAATTAAATTTAATTTGTTACATAAAATACAATTTATTAAAATTCCTAATCGCAGGGCATCAGGCGGTTCCACTTTCGGGTCACCTAATCGTACACCCAATCGCAAGCACTGTTGACCGGTGAAAGCGAGGTCGGTCACGGATATGACCGCAGAAAGATGATGTCCGAGTCGATAAGGAAGGGCTGTCGCACTTTCCACATACAAGGAAAATTCTTCAGAAAGCGTTCTTCCGTGCACAGCACGTATTTGGTGGGAGACACGTGAATTTTTCCTACTGTTTCATTCCAAATATTAGTTTGCGGCCACAACGATGTACGAGTTTTCTTTAAACACCGTTTGGACCGTGCGCATAGACAGACGGACAACGCCTTCTAGTCTATGTGCTATTAATCTGTGATGTTTACGATACCAACGGAATACCGACGACCTGGAAAATCGAAATTTCTAGTAATTTCCATATCGCCTTAAATTAAATATTGAATTCATTTCTTGCCATTATTTATCTTGAGAATATTAATAAATTCTAGTTTTGTACAATAGTAATAATTAATAATAATTTTATATAATATTGTAAGTTTTTAGTATTGTTTAATTTTTATACTTTTTTCTCGCGAATGGGCCGATTTGAACTAAGCGTGCGTGCACCCTGCATTTACCGGGGCTCAGTACCATTATGTCGGTGGCAGGTGCATGTAAATTTAACTGAAGACCAGCATTTCGCTGAGTCCGATTTTTATTCCCCAGAGTTGTTAGCCCTGGGGGTAAGGAAGATGAAATGATGATGATAATGAGGGGTGAAAGGACGACACTCACATACAGTCACACACAAATACACCCATGCCCGAGGCTGGGCTGGAACCCGTGATCCTTCCTTTCGAGATCGCCACGGCTCTACTACTCTAGCGATCTCGGTTTTCCGGACGGATCTGATTCTGTTGTATTATTATAACTTGTTACCTTTTTTATTTTCGAGAATTTTTGTCAATATTAACACCTAACATTATCCAAAAATATTGTAAAAGTTTCAGCATCAGATGAAGTAATTATTCAAGTCAAAAGTTTGATACGTTATGCTTGTGTATAACCACCGAGCGTGTTTGTGAAGCAGACAAGCCCATATTTAAAACATTTCTACATCTGGTAGATATACAGAGAAGTTCACGAAAAGGTCAAATGAGGCAATGCTACTTCAATGGAAAACTACGTAACAAAAACACAGCTATTTACAAAAAAACTGTTCGTATGACATTCTGTATACTAAGCTGGGTAAAAAAGTATCCGATCTATTACTTCCTTAAACTTTGGGATCATTAAACGTTTCCTAGGAATTTCATCTGAAGCGAATGTTTCTAAGAAATATTACCGTATGCCGGTGTACAGGAATGTATTTAAAAATCTGGTTACTAAATTGCTTTTTGTATATTGTGTACGCAGCCTGGTAAAGTGTGCATACTTTTTCGTGCCATCTTCCCCAGACATATTACACCCAACTTAATTGCTGTCAGTTTTCATTCGCTGGACGGTTGTGTTTGATTGTATAGCTCTAAGGGGCTCTACTTGTATTTAATTTAACGAACTTATTGAAATCAGGATATGTAATCATAACCGATAAATGTTCAACTAATTCATCATTGTTCAAGGGATCGTGGTTATCCCATCACAGGAACTGTGAAGAAAAATAAGACATAACCCCCGAAAACGTCAACTTCAGCCTGCTAGAAAAGTATAGCCGTTAATGTTTGCTTTCAATAAATTATCTTTGGTCTCATTGGAAAAAACTGAGAAAATTATTTTTTCCTGCATCATGATGGCACAAACTTGTGCCAATGACGATTGGAAATACTATCATATTGTTTTCATTTATTATTATATTTTATGAGAATTATAATCCATTACAACTACACGAAAGACGCGATGTATACATTATTTAAAATGAAGAGAGTATTATCTACGTATCAGCCTGTCTTAATTTTTACCTGTTTTTTAACTACTAGGTCATGTAGCTATCACTGTGATTGTTTACTTTGGGGTAACAGTAGGGGGCACGACACGTATGGAGAACACGAACACGAGCACACACAAACATCCACATCCGAGGCGTGATTCGTACCCGCGACCCTTCTAACCGAGGCAGCTATGGCCCTACAGCCGGTCCTGCATCGACCTGGGCTATCCAGGCCGGGTTACCTTGTTGTGTTACATTTGCCAGGAACATTCATACAGCTTGAACATGCAAATTTCGTTTTGAGGATCTTAACTGATTTAATTTATGTTGAGATGTATTTCAAAGCGATTTAAATTTAAAATGTGACAATTGTTACTTTTTTTTTGGTTAAAATTCTATTTTTACGTGTATTAAATGAAGAAGTAAAGTTTCCTTCTCGAATACATTTATATCCTGCTTGGTAATCTAAATTAATTCTTAAGTTGCTTTTTCAGTTTTGCGAAGTTTCAAACATATTTGAAACTATCTTCTTTGTCTATTCCGAAAAGCCAATACTGAGCATATGGGTCCACTTAAAAATCCAAGAGGATAATTCTTTGTGATAAAACGTTAAAAAACCTGTACTTCCAGTTCCGATCTAACATATGACAACGTATCATCCACAGTTGACAAAAAAAAGAGGTTTTGCGTGTAATGTGATGTAACCTGTATTTAGAAATAAAAAACGTGTTATGTCTTTTGCTGTTAAGAATGAGTGTAGACTAGACACATTTTAAGTTGATATGTTTGTATTGTAATTGCATGTAATATGGTAGAAAGATTATAACTCTAGGAATATCCGTTCATATTAGTGGCTGATCGAATAAATTTGTATTTATTAATTTACAAGTATGATTGCTAATTACCCCTTAGACCACCTGACAATGACGGACTGGACATTTCATGGAAATTATGGAAGCGACGGCGGTACGTAGTTACAGCCATGTCATTTTTTGGATTCTTTAACGTATTCGCTCTGAGAGTGAATGTGAGCGTCGCAGTTGCAGCCATGACAAGTATAAAAGAAGTAACTCTAGAGAATGGGACTGTAATTGAGGTAAGTGAAGCCAGACGTATGCAGACTATAACCTAAATTCGTTTTTTGGAAGTCAATTGCATCTTTGTATAATTATGAAGCATTATAATGCTGAGAGTAGGTGAATACTTAAAAGACTTTCTTATCAGTGTGCGTTATTTCCAATTACTACCTGCGATATATCTGTCTGTTACATACATTATCTTTCATGTTTTTGTTCGTGAGACATGAATATGGTTGGCATAGGGATGATACAATTCCCTACTCTAGATTAAAAGACATAAATAGGCTGTAATTAAATTGTTTACAATAATTCTAATATCAATTTATAATTTTAAATTTCTTACTTATTTTAACCGATAAGGATAAGTTTATACTCATTTATATTTTTGCAGATGTTTCTTACTTTAAATAATCTTACATTTTAAGCCCTTTCAATACCTATAGGGCTACATATTGTAATTGCTCAAATCGGTCTTGGTTTTACTCATTCAAACTCTGCCCTAGGAATTAACAGACCATATTTTTTTTTTAAATGAAGCCGTCACGTTATCGCTTTATTTGTCACTGATATAATTTTGAAACGAATGTCATGTAATCAAGCTTACTTCGATGATTAAAGATTTTTAAAACCTATCACAGATCGTAGATACCTCTACCAGATCTCATAAATTCTTGACAAACTAAATACATAATTTTATTTTTACTGATTACCTAAAAATAATTCATCAAAAATTAATGAGACATGATGCTGCAAACAGTAAAAAATAAAATATTTTTGCAACTCCACATGATTTTTTGGTTTCTACTAAAGAACAAATTCTATTCAAATGCACAATAATGGGAGAAATATTATTTATGGGCATTGAAGTATATTGACACATGCCTCACAATGTATTGCCTTGGCTTTCCCGGTCAAGCCGCGTCACTGTCGTGGTGACTGACGTTTCGGGCAACATATTGTGGCCTTCCTCAGAGCGGCAGCAGTACGCGTAGATAGCCTAGACAATACAAATTCCGGCCGAGGAAGCCTACGCACCTCCCAACATCAAAACATCTTCAAAATAAATGCTATGGAAAAGTGATTGTAATTACTTGGACAGGCACTGATATTGTACTGAATATTATCTGATGTGTGACCGAAGGAGCAAGAATTCGACTGGAGCACGCAGCTGCAGGGCTACATCCTGGGCTCGTACTTCTACGGGTACATCACCACCCAGATCCTGGGTGGGTGGCTGGCAGCGCGCCTGGGGGGCAACGTGCTCTTTGGGTTCGGCATCGCCGTCACCTCCTTCCTCACCCTGCTCACTCCCGTGCTGGTCAAGCTCAACGTTTACATTTTCATTGCGATTCGAGTCATAGAAGGCATTTTCGAGGTGAGGTTTGATTTTATATAACTCTTGTAGAAGGTAATAAGTCATTGTCTGTTTTTTAACAATATTTATATCAAATAATAAGCCTCTAGGATGGCAGCGTAGTACCTTCCTGTGGTGTGATCCCGTGTTCGATTCCCGATCGAGGCAAAAGTAGAGTTATAGCTTTCCATTACAATCGTTGCGGTTTCTGAAGCTATGGGATGATGAGAAACTCACGCAGGCGAAGTTTGCTAGTTACTGTGAAGGGAATATGTGATGTTCGCCATTTGTCAGTATTACCCAGAAGGTGGGAAATTAAACGAGGCCCTGGCACGGGAAACACAGTTAACGAGCCGGAAAAGTCCGACAGTCAACCCCAAATGCCAAATACATATATTAAATAATTTATATTCACTCCTTAAAAGTATTCTAGTAACAAATCGCCGTAGCAAACATATATGTATCATATGTACTTGAGGTATATCAAATTCCAGTTCCAGAAGATACCAAGGAATTGAATAAGATTGTGAATATAATTGTTTAAAGAAGCCCATTTGTGTCGTTTTTGAAAAATGTTGACCTATTTGAAATATCAAATAGAACCATTATATTATAATAGAATAAACTATACTTTCAAAATTTTTAATTGTTTTTCTAAGATTTCTATTTTAAGTTTGCTATTTTAAAAAAAATCTTGGAGGTTGTTTTGTCGCTTAATCCATGAGCATAGTTTTAGTTTATTCACTATAGTTTTTTGTATTTTTTAGGCATAATTATAATTAATATATTGCGATAAGAGTTTAAGTAATGTATAGTATAATATTTGAGTATAATTAAAAAAATTATATTCAAAATCTTTAATTTAAAGCGTGTTTCAGGGCGTTTCCTACCCAAGCATGCACGATGTTTGGGCTAATTGGGCCCCTCCGCTGGAAAGAAGCCGTTTGGCCACCATTGGCTACTCTGGAAGTTACGTGGGAACTGTAGTCGCCATGACGCTCTCGGGAGTTTTGGCGGAGCAAGCAGGATGGCCTTCCGTCTTCTACGTTTTCGGTAAAGATCCTATCAAATAATGACCTGATTAAGCAAATTATTTTAGCTTATCACAATTTATTTAATTAACATTTATATATTAAAAATAGTTATCTCTAAAAATTACCCCCTCTTTAAATCGTTCAGTTTAAATGTTTAAAAAATGATATTGTTTAGATAGGGGAGAAGTTGACTGTTTGCATATAGTTATAAACCTGAGGTTAAATAATATTCTTTAATATAATAATGTTTCGGAATTGAACTAGAACGTGCCAAACCATGCCAAGACAATTTAAAAACATTTTTCAGTTTTTAACTACGTAATTCATGTGGTGAATAAGTATAAATGTGTGAACAGTGTTCTGCACATCCATACAAATAAAATAATAGTTTGGAATAGTAGAAATTAATGGATGGTTTCCATGTGAAGGTTGTGTTGGGGCTGTATGGTACTTGGGATGGTTACTTCTTGTCAAACGCAGACCGGAAGATGACAAGTATATCGATCCTTTGGAGCTGAAATATATCCGAACGTGCCTAGGTCCACCTGAAGGAAATCATAAGGTAAATAAATCATTGCTTTTTTCTTTGAATTGTTCCTTAAATAACATAATGATTATTTTTAATCATCATCAAAAACTCTAGAGTTTTTAATTTTTCTGTTTTTTGCAGAATGTTTCTCATCCTTGGGGGAAATTTTTTCTTTCACCACCAGTGTGGGCAATAATTATAGCAAATTTCAGCGAAAATTGGGGTTTTTATACACTTCTTACCCAACTGCCTATATTTATGAAAGGTATGTGTGTAAGAGTAGGTATGTTGATCAAGAAATACAATGATTTTATAATGCACGATGCATTGAGAAAGCATTTCTTTTTGTGAAGATACTTTGGGATTCGACTTACAGCAGGCTGGATTTTTGTCAGCATTGCCTTATCTAGTTGTAGCATTTACAATCCAGTTAGCTGGCCATATTGCTGACCATATTTTAACGAGAAATTATCTGAGTACAACGCAGGTCAGTAGAACCGAAACCTTATGTCGACCCTAGTCGTTGAATTCAAACTTTTATCAGCGCTCGGAAGTGCTTTTTATTGTATGAATTTGTCTGATTTGTAGGTTCGCAAAATATTCTGTAGCGGAGCCTTCATATGCCAGTCATCCTTCATGTTACTGGCTTCTTTCCTGCTCACCCCAGCTGGCGCAGTAACCTGCCTCACCTTAGCTGTAGGACTCGGTGCTTTCGCAATGGCGGGATTTTTGTGAGTTGATCTCATTGATTTGAATCATTTTCTCCTTTGTTAGGATGCCGAGTGGTTCTAATGGTTGCGATAACCAGTGCCGGCACTAGGCATGAGCAGAGTGGGCGATCGCCTGGAGCCCCGCAAGTCAAGGGGTCACATGATGTAATGGATGAGGCAAAATTAGTAAAATTAAAAAATATATATATCGCGAAAATAGTTTTCGTAATTTGATAAGTTGCTCTACGCTAGTTTGATGTAATCATAAAATGTTCAATTAATATTATACCTTCAACAGTTAATTAGAACTCTATGAAATCAATCGACGCTAACATTAAAATAGGCACAACTAAAATTCTTATCAATTATTTTACGTAAAACGAATGATTTTATTAAACACTTACGAAAAACACATTTACTTTTGCGCTTTAAGCTCTCCCTGGAAATTGTATTGTTTTATCTCTAAATACTTTTACTTTAAAGTAAACTACAAATTCAAAAACTTTTTCTATATTAAACGTTGTTATTTTTGTTACTTGTTGAAAGAAAATAACTCATATAGGTTCTTGATACAAATTTTACATTTTTAATTTTTTCGGGGGGGGGGGGGGGCTTCTTCACTGTTCCGAGTCCAATATTGTTTTGCTCCAGCACTGGCGATAACTATTGCATTCCATTGTCGATTGATGTTGTGGATAATGATTAAAGAAATAATCATGGATTATAACAATATAAAAACAATTCGATTCATTATTGAGTGAAATATAACTTCCTAGTGCTACATGCTTGCACCGTGGCAAAACCGATTTTTATCTTTTTATATAGATGAATAGAAAAGGAAATGATATACCAGCATTTTATATAACGTAGTTAATATTGCATTACCACGTATCTCCAAACATATTTTGTTCTATTTTCTATTTTCCATGTTTTGAATAAAATTTGGACATATTTCGATTTTTATGACATCTTAATTATTTTCTGGTGTTTGTGAAATGTTGAATTCTTGATGTAAATGTTCCTTTCATATATCTATAGTTTTCATAGTTACATTTTGTATAGTTTTGTACGGTAATATTTTTCAAACTTACTGCAAAATTTATAGCTGAAGGTTACTTAAATTGTGGGTTCAATTCGTCGAAGTATGCGTGTCGCTCACATATTTTTCTTGAAGGTATCACCATGGATATAAAAAGTTTCGTTGAATGGATCACAAACTACCCCTATTAAATGTATATTTGTTATTGTAGTTTTAAACATATTGAGAATTCCGAGAAAAAACTGAACATTTGATTATAACAAGTGTTAGAATGAAGCCAAACATACAACGTATGTAACGTTTTTCAGTGTGAACCATTTGGATCTTGCTCCGCTTCATGCAAGTGTGTTAATGGGGATTTGTAACACCGCTGGCACCTTGCCAGGTATAATTAGCCCTACTATAACAGGATACATCGTTCCTAATAGGGTAAGAAATATTTTACCATTTGAAGTCAATCAAGAAATACTTTACAATCGAGAATGTTACTGAAATTGTTTGTGTTTTCAGACGAAAGATGAATGGCGGGTGGTGTTCTACATTTCAAGTGCTATTTATTTCATTGGCGCTCTAGTGTACGGACTGTTTGCTTCCGGTGAGAGGCAGAGTTGGGCCGGTGATGCAAGAGATGAAGTTACTGAAAGCAGTCCGATCAAGGAGTCCTACAATAATAAGAGATAATGAGACGTGTATTATTAATTTTTATATATTTATTATTTCTTCCTTCAATGCCGTTCATGACGAATCCCATCAAAACTTGATATCACTTTATCATAACGTAATTAATACGGAGTATGAACGGAGTTGTGTAAACCAATTTAAGAAACAAGTAGGAAGTGTACATAAGAGAAAAAGCGAGTGTTGGGATGATACGGCAGATGTAGGTACCAAGTATGTGCGCAAATTTACATTTCATGCCGTGAGGTGGGAACAACCTTTAAAATCAAATCAAAGCTTAGGCTTCTGCGGGTGAAGTCAGTCAGCTGTCTGGGAGACGCAGCGTCGTAGAAACAGATGCTAACGTTTCGTCCGTCATTCTGTGACCTTCATTGTCATTGCGCCCTGAGGAAGGTTGCAGCATAACGGCCGAAAGGTTGGAATCTGTGTCTAGGAAGCGATGTCTTACTGACAGTAAAGTAGATATATACAAGCTTTAAAATCCGCATAATGTTTGATCTGTGACCGATGTTACAGTTACGTGAATCATTTCGCGTACATTCAATTCTAACTGATCTTCAGTTAAAAGAATGTGAATAAAATTCCATTATAAAGGAAATAATTGTTATTAGAACCATTTGACATTTTGTTTGAAATAATACATTAAAATATTTTTATTATATTTTCGTCACACTTATTCACGATTTTCAACTATTGAAAAAAATGTTTGACCAAAATTATTCTAACTTTTCCCCTCGTTCCAACTATTTATAATCAATTTTCTTTCCTATTCTCTTTCTCTGTCCTTTTTTTCAATTTCGTCCGCCATGTACCGTTCATTTTTCATTCCACCATTTTCCTGTCTATTTTTTTTTTTCGAACCCGCATTCTTTTCCTTATTCGTCCTTTCCAGAAAGAAGTCGAGGCTTGAATGACACAATCCGCCAGGCGTCCCCTGGCGGTGTTTTGCCGAGGCGGCATTTTCCGACTTATTAGGTCTGGCGGGGGCGACGGACAAAAAGCGCCTGCGCCGCGCGCCGCCTCCGCTGGCCGCCATCTCGCGCACGTCTCCATCAAGGCGGTGACAAACGAGGCCTAATATCGGCGGCACGGCGGCAGCTGTGGCTAGCGCCCGGCGCTGGCGGGTGGAGGCGCGCGCAGGACGGTGAGGGCGACCGGGCGACGGGGTGGCGGTGACGGCGGCAGGGTGTGGTGAGGACGGTGGGAGCGACAACGGGGGTGGAAAGCAAAGACGGTGAGGACGGGACGATCTCGCTGTCTGGGGCACCGGGATGAGGCTGTGTCGGGGTGAAGAGACTGCGGGGCAAGAAAAGGTCGACTGAGTGATAGGACAGCGGGGTGACGACCAGGGTGAGGACGTTGGGAAGCGAAGACGGTGGGGCGATGGTCGCCGTTGAATGGCGGGACGGCCTTGCCGTCTGGGATACCAGGTTGTGGCGGAGCAACGGTAGTCGTGGTTAAAAACGCTGCCGAGCTACGAAACAGTAGAGTGGCGACGAGGGCGGCAGGAAGCGGCGAGGACGAGGAGAGTGACGGAGGCGGAAGGAATACTAGAAGGTGGCGGGCGGTCTGTATGGCGAAGTGAGAATGCACGGTGGCGGGCCGATCTTGTCGCCTGGAGCACCAGGTGGCGGCAGGGCGATGTTGTTTCGGCATAATAGAGACGGCGGGGCGGTGAGGACTACCGAGCGCCGGGCAGCAGGGTGGCAGCGAGAGGGGCAGAGTGCTGTGAGGGCGGTGGGAACGACGATAGAAAAAGACGACGACGGGAGGGAGGTTGAGCGTGTCGATGGGTGGCGGACCGATCTTGTCGCTTGGAGCATAGGTGGCTGCGGGACACAGTATGTTGTGGTGATTAAGGCGGGGCGGCGAGTCACCTTTCCGATGTTGTGACAAGGACTAATGATTATCCCGTTAGTGTAGTGAATGATTGATCCAGGGAGGTAACGATGTTCCTCCACCAGTGGATGGTGAGATCCGGCGCTCACCTTCATGTCGGCTTGCGGATGATTTCCTTCTCCAGGTATCTCCCCCAGTGGGATACCGTTCTACCCGGGAGTTGCAGTAAGGTCCCGACATGTGCGGTAGTGTAGTGCATTTACGTATAAGAGTGTGAGAATAAGGGAGAGGATAATGAAAATAATGCAATGGATGCGCGCGGCCACTGTTCTGGTGTTCGCCTGGTATTCGGGAGAAGCCAAGGAAACTACTTACTTTATTATTATGTAATTACAATTTTTTATCGTTCTACATACTCTGAAAATTATTATCAAATTCATTAAGGGGGCGTGGGGAGGGGGGTAGGACATAGTTTCCGTTGAGGGTACTGAAGTGATGTCCAAGAACAAGCAGTTTTTTGGGAGCTACCGTTGAGGAAGATAGAGAGCTAAAGGAAAATAGCCTCGTGGTGATCGCTAAAGCCGTAATATTTTCATATCTGTTGTAAAAGTTCTATGTTAAGTGTTTTTAAGGCACTGATTCACAAAGTGCGAAATGTTTGCATGCTGTCCTTCTAACAGTATTTATTCCTTATGGGGAACAACTAAGAGAAACGCTCATTTTTATTTCGAGAACAAGGCATGAATTGTATATATGAAAGATGTTGGAGAAACAATATTGATCGAGAAACGATATTGAAATATGTGTTCTTGCTGATTCGAATTGTTTTATTCTGATCACCCAATGTTTGTGGAAAATATTGCCGCTGGAGTTTTTACCTTTCGTAATTTCTGCTCAGTAAAATTTGTAAATATATCAAAAGCAGAACTACAAAATTTCACGCAAATTTGTCGAAAAATTGTTGACATTTCCTCATTATGTCCTCTTGGAAGCCAGTTGATCACACTGAATTGCTAACTTGACAAGGAGAGAAAATATTAAACAGCCCTTAAATAGTTATGCTTTCTCCAATGTCTGATTGGGTGACTTGGGCAACAGCTGGGGATCTTCAAGAATAAGGAGATGAAGGAGGAGAGGAGTGTAAGAAAAGAGAAATAAAAAAGAAGAAGCGGGATGTAGATAGCGCCCTCTGAGTGATACGCGTCGTGAGCTCGGAGCGCCGGTCTACGCTGACGGGCTTCGCCTCTAAATCACTCACCGCTCCCTCCCTGCCACCCACGCACCGCCCGCGCCACCCGCCCGTCCGCTCTGCCAGTCAGCGCCGACCTCATTCGCCAACCGTCTGCCCCGCACTCGTCACTCTGGCGCACAGCAGCAGGATTACTCACTCTCGCAAAAAGTCAATCTGTACTCTCCACATTCCGCAACGCCTCATTCGATCGTACTCGCCTCATCCGGTCGCGCTCGGGTCGTCCACCTACAACTCTCACACTTGCCTCATCCGTCCTCTGCGGCGACCTCGCGTCATCAACAAGCACTCGCACCACCCGCCCACACCCATTGATCACGCTCGCCTCTATCCTCCCGCGCTGCACTATTCATCCGCACTCGCCTCATCCGCCTGTGTCAACCTCATTCCACGTCACCGTCCGAACTCATACCATCCATTCGCACTTGCTTCCTCAACTTTCACCGGAAGTACTCTTCATCCACGTGTACCCGGTCCACCTAACCACATAGCTCACACTCGCCTTCTTCGCTCTGTTCTAATTGACCGTCACCATACGAACTCGCCTCATCCGTTCGTACTCACCTCATACACCTTCACTCGTCTCATCCACATTCACTAGTTCCCACCTATTCGAATAGCTCGCATGCATCTTACACGCCTGCTCTATACATATACACCCTCACCGCCCGCAGTTGCCTTTTCGCTTGCATCGAATTCAGCCGTTGTCTGGAGGAGAATTCCAGCGGCCGGCTGCTCTGATCGATAGTTTTCCGTGATTCTCCGATCAACACCAGGCGAATGCCAGAGCAGTACGCTAACAAACGGGCCGCAGACCGCACGCCATCTTTCGTACCTCTTTCTTCTCCTATCCTCGCCCCTTACACACATTAACATACACTACACCACAATACATGCCGGGAGTAAGATCGGAAAGTTAGTGCTTACCCCGGCTGGGGCGGTGCTTCGCTGGTGGGAGATACCTGGTTGAGAGAAAACACCGCTAGCTGATGGTAGGTCGACGCTGGATCTCATCGTAAAGCGAGAGAAAGATCACCGCCACATCCAGAGCAAAAACATGCGCTACACTTACGGGTCTAATGACCCTGGTAGTTGACGTGCCCAGAATCACTAAAATAATCAATAAATCAAATTCGCTTGCGCTTGTCAGTCGCATCGGGTGCCCTAGAAATAGATCATGACGGTGATTGTGATAATGAAGATGAATACATCTTGCCAAAAGCACTTCCCTTCCCAAATCTCCATCCTTTATCGTTGCCGCCTGAGCACCTATACCTCCTACTATGGTTTAGTGTAGGTAAGTAGTTGACAAGACACTAACTTAATGATTTCGTATCTGCTGGTTTTCGTTTTTTAGAAGTGGACAAAAACTTAGCCATATCGATACAACCACTTCCCCTGAATTGCCGTGTCTCTCGATCTTATCTCTGTAGTAACTTCGCAACGCTTCGATACCAGCTGTCGCCCTCCCTAGTTCAGTAGTACGTCTTTGCTTCCCTCCCGACCTGCAGTCGCGCCTACCGCCGCTTGAGAGGGATATAATCGAAGGGGTCGAAGCATTGCTAACTTCGCGTTCTCATCAATATCCCGACGATAGTGCAATACGCTCTTTCTTAACTTGTTTTCAATTATTCAAGGTGTCTTTTCAACTACTAAGGTCATATAGCGACCACTGTAAGAAAGATACTGTAAGTAACGGTAAAGGGTCACACACAAACATCCTTACCCCGGGAGGGATTCAAACCCGCAGCCCTTCCGCCACGAAGCAGCTACAAGTCTTGAACCTTAGCGACCTCGGCTAAAAGACCAGCATTCTTCACTTTTACACTTTCATTTTTAACACTATTACAAAAGTGATATTTAATAGTGGATTGCAGCAGCAAATATGCTGCTGAACAAAACCTCACAACATGATTTTCCAAAACGTGGAACGCACACTATTCAAGAACAACAAATAAAATGTTCTCGTTTAACAATGCAATAAATCAAATGTTTTGACAAAAAATAGTTTTCACGAATACTGTAAGAACATAAAATACGTACAGGACAACACTTCTTCACATACCACGAACAAAAAAAGAGTTACTGTTCCACAACGCAGCTTGCGAATAGCAGAAATTTACCAGCGGGGGGGGGGGGACCTCTAACTTAAAGCCTTGATATCGTAAGACATCAGCTGTGCCTTAAGCAGTGTTGCACTGAGTGCAAGAATTCAGACGATACGCACC